ATATTGTATTCCAATCTTCTGAGAGCGAGAGTATGTCGCAAATATCGGAGGAGGACTTAGAGACTCCGTTTGTGGAGTTCGCGGCTGCAACAGCCGCCTCTGCAGCAACAGCGGTAGCAAGAGCCGCTGAGTAAGCGTATCTTGTCTGCTCATCCTTAACCTCGGCAAGTTTCACATCTTCCACAGCCATCGGAGCAAACTCGGGCTGTCGTTTTGGTGATGGAACAGCATGAGGCAGTTCATCTTCTTGGTTAGATGTTATAGTGTCCAACTTCTTGTTCTTGCCAAACCATTTCTTCACCTTTCGTGGTTTCTGGTGAACAGATAAACATGAAACATTTGCCTATATATGTCGGTATTTAGATTCATCAAATGCATAAACATGTTGTCAATTGTAGGAACTTTGTGTATATATGCGTGTATATATATGGACATTTCTTACAAACAAACCTGATCTTGCTTTTTCCCTTTCGCTTCTGGACTTAAGGCCTTCTTCACAGCAGTGAACCAGCTCTTACCCATCTCCTAGTTTACTTTTATTTTTGGAATTTCTGCAACTGCAAAACCCAGAGAGATATCCTGATCCGAATTTTTAAAAACTGCAATAAACCCTTAATTCAAGAGTTCAATATCAGCATTTTTAGTAAGTTTCAATCTTACTAGCCAAAGATTGGATTATGTTTCTCAATATTGGTTAGGGATACCCGAAGATTATAGGGGAAAATTGATAAACACATGACTAAAGGATGACAGAACCGACATAAATGGAACAAGTGGACTCACAGATTGGACAAATCAAAGCTTGGATCTTCCTGAGAAAATAGAACAGACAAAATTTTCCAAGAACAAAAGAATCGACAAAAACCTCAGATCGGACAGAGAATCTGCAAGGAGAAAAAATCACTTTCAGAAATGAATCAAAGACACAAACAAGCAGAAGATATACACATATGTATACGCATACTGATGCACGCAACCGTACAGAGAGAGAGCTCCAAGACGAAGAAAAATCAGAAGCCAGAAACGGAAAGTAAGAAGCTTTCGCGACTTTCTCGGATCTGTAGCAAAAGCAATGAACTTTCTCACGATCCAAACAAGGGGGAAACAAAAAAAAAATCTAATGGCAAAAATCTGAGAGGAGAAGAATCAGATCTCGAAGGAGAAAGTTTCAGAGGTAATGGAACAGTGGCGTGGTGTTGCGTGAGATGAGTGTTGTCTCTCTCATTTGGGGAAAGAAGTTGGAAAAGGAGACTCTGTCCATCACGTTTGGACCAATCAGTTCTGTCATTTAAAGAACATAAACAAAATTAAAACATAAAACGTACAGTTCATAAATTATATATAATAAAGATTAAAAAAAAGTACAGGGAAAACAAATAAAGATTGCGGTAGCTGTGAAATGAACAGAAACTGGAATTCTTACAAGCCTCGTGCCCAGAGAAAAAGAAGAAACCTTTCAGAGTTTAACAACATACCCACAATTCCTTCACCCGTTTCATCTAAAACCCTACTAAATGTTGTCTTCGTTAAGACAACGCTCTGAAGACAAAATCTGCAAGCCAATATGATCCAACAGGATCGTGAGAGAGAGAGGGAGATACCCGTTTGTAAATTTCCAGAACAAAGGAGCCGAGATGGAGATCGAAGTAAGCGAAGGAGAGCTGATCTCGCCATTTTTGTTTCTGACGCTCGAACGACGAAGACACGTCGCCAAATGAACATTGTAGGGTTTTGGGTATGAATACTTGCTGTTTTCATATCCTAGAAACGACACGTAATCCACCCCCTCCGACCCAGACGATAAAAATCTGATCAGTAACTACCCCTCCGATTTAGGCGTTCTTTATTCAGTTTGTTCGCTCATATCTCCGCTCCCTTAGCCCATCTGTTAATCATAAGCTAACCACTGTGTCTCGAAGCGTCCGTTCTCTTGGGTTCTTGGGTTGCCTTTGTGGTTCTCATAACGAATTAATGGCTGCTTCAGTGTCGAATTCAGGTGATGTTAACGGAGGAGATTCCCAGATTAGCCTCGAAGAATCGGAGTCTATCAAGCATCGGGTCGACGAGATTTTACAACGAGTTGATACGGTAAAATCCGGCATAAACAATTCGTGTTGAGAACTTCCCAGAAATTGATTTCGTTTTGACAATACGCTTGAGAAGTTGAAGTTAATTCCGTATGTTTCCTTCTGGTTCCCATATTCTGATGTCAATTCAAGTTTTAGGGTTCATTCAGAATCCGTGAATTTTGGTGCTGAACGATTGGAATGTACTTGTTTCACTGTTACGGTTTGAACTCCGATGTCAATTGCTTTTGCCTTGTTGGTTAAGCTATTAATGGATCTAGTAAGTAAACGCTCTTTCTGCAAATTTCGAGCTGACCCTTCTGCTAATTCTAGTCACCCTAATGAGAGCAATTGGAGTTGCATATTGGACGAACGATGTCAGGGGTTTTCGGTTACTTCCATAAGAGGCATAGTGTGAAATACTAGGATCGTAATGTATTTTGCCTCAGCTGATTAGAAACTTATGTAGCATAATCTGTTTTGATATGGTATAGATTCAAGATGTTATAAATGTTGATGATTCTATCTGCAGCTTGAGCAGAAACTGCAAGAAGTGGAGCAGTATTACTCGAGTGTAGGTGAAACAGTAAACAAGTTAAATATGGCTAGCCCGGGCTCTGTGGTCAAAGAAAAAGGGAGATACATTCTCTACGGTAGGAAGGTGCAACAAGAGGCGACTCGTAGGGAAGCTGAAGCTGCAAAAAGAATGCAAGACCTCATGCATCGGTTTCAAACAATCTTCTCTGAGGCAAATGATCCATTCTCTCATTCCTTTTGTTTGTTCATACCAATTCTTAATTATCCGCTGAGGTTGAGTTTTTCTAGGTCCGATTGGCTGTCACGCAATCGCCACAAACATGGCGTTTACGACTTCTACTTGTCGCAGACAACTGGAAAATTGATTTGTTTTATGACAATCACCCTGCAAATTGCAACCAGTTACTTTTGAATCACAGCAAATCGCGATTGCTATCAACAACAATTTATCAACTAGTTAGTGTGAATCCAAGATAAGGTGGTTCAACTGGTAAAGGATGGAGTAAAATTCCTTCCCATTCCAAGTTTGAGTCTCGACCTAGGGAGTGGCATTCATATGGGTTTCTCCGATCTTTTGGAGATATAGTTGGTCCAACCATGAACTTTCAGATTATAAATAAAAACTAGTTAGTGTGAATCATCCACAATCGTTGACAAATGAATTTAGTGATACAACCCGTGGAGTCCTCTATGTCTTGGAGAGGAACCGAGAGTTTCCAGTTTTGAACATACTTGAGTATGAGTTTTGTGATTCAGATTGTGTTTTACTTTTCAGATAAGGCAGCACAAATGGGCATTGCCATTTAGGCATCCTGTCGATGTTGAAGGTCTTGGTCTGCATGATTATTATGAGGTGATGTTGTCTTCTCCTTCAGAGCCTTTTTTTCTTCTGAACAATACATAAAAAAACAGGACCAGACCACAAATTCAAATGCGTATCAAGATTAAAAGTTATGAGAGAAAATGGATGTGAAATGATACAATGAAATGCAGTATCATGTTTTATACCAGGAATACGTTAAAGAAATTTATATGTTTGTTTCTGACAGCGGTTTTACGTTTTCAGATTATTGACAAGCCAATGGACTTCAGTACGATCAAGAATAAGATGGAGGCGAAGGATGGTACAGGATACAAACACGTTATGCAAATATATGCTGATATGAGGCTAGTGTTTGAGAACGCCATGAAATATAACGCGGAAACAAGTGAGGTCTATTCCATGGCAAAAAGGCTGCTTGAGACGTTTGAAGGGAAATGGGCACATTTTCTTCTGGAGGTTAAAAAAGAGGTAACAATAGCAAAACTGTCTCACTTCTGCTTAAATGGAGGTTATCCGTAGATGTTTTCCGTTTTTTTTCATAGTGATGAAAATGTATTACACCCAAAATCGAAACAAGTGGAGAAGAGAATTCATGTGGTAGATCCCAATTAGGGTTGGGAGTAATGCGTCGTTGTGTGAAAATGGATTACAGGAGAAAAGACAGGAGGAGGAAAAAAAACTAGCGGAATCGGTGTTGCAGCTTGTAAACGAGGCATCGCATGCCGAAAGAAGTAGAGAAGTCAGTGACGAGGTATTTTCGTCATCTATAACAGCTCATATAGCCTGTAATGACGTGTATGCTTTATCTTGTTGCATGCTAATTGATGGAATGCTTCTGCAGATTTGCAGTGTTATTGCAGAGCTGGAGGAGCTCAGGAATAAGGTTGTCCAGAAACACAGGTTGGCTTATTTAGAATTTCCATTTCTTTTATTGTTGGATCTAACGGAGTATGGAGCTGAGAATTGATGACTGAATCTCAGAAAAATATCAATACAAGAAAAGAGGGATATCGGGTTGTTGATGCCAAAGTTATCAGCCGACAAGCTTATGAAGATGCTGGAAATTCTTCCGAACGTCCAAACGACAGCAGAAGGGGTGATGGACGTCGAGATAGACGGATTGGTAAAGATCTCTTACAGAACTAAACTGGGTTTATAGGTTCAATCTTTTCTCAGTGCTTAAAACTTCTACAAACAGGATGAACCGACCCTGTGGAGGCTGAAGTTCTTCGTGAAGGAAGCGCTGAAGGATCAGAAGGACGAGACTGGAGATCACGTAAGAAAAGATATACAGAGTGAGACGGGGGCCGATAAAAGCAGAGGAGGCATCAACAAGCGTAAGAAAAGAAATTTGTAGCTCGAATTTCGTTCGTTAGAGAAGCGGGTTTGGATTTGGATGCCAATGGATGAATTGTGAGTATCGGCCGGCACTTCCGTCCGGGAATTTGGTCTCAATACCGATTAAATACATTTCGGTTCGGTTCGATTATAAGAAAAACGAACGGTATAAAATTAAAGATACCGAATGGTTCGGTTTGGAAAATACGTTAAATATTATATAATATTTCGGTATTTTTTTTTATTTTATTTTTTAAAAATATTAAAGATTAATACTTATTAATAATATTTATTTTATGTACGATTGATGAAGTAAAGAATAGGATTTATTGAGTTTCATAATTCATAGAAATCAATTGATATTTATTAATTTATTTGTTTTCATTATATTATACCTCTGAAAATAAATTCAAACTGCATTTAACCGTTTTTGAATTGTCTCATAAAAAATCTTAACCGCCCCGAACCATTCCAATTTTAATCTTTATTTAGTACTTATTAAAACCGTATTATACTTAACTGAGACTAATACCGAACCGAATAACATAAAATACTAACTTGATATAAATTTTGTAATATCAAATAAACCGTTTTCGAATCGAACGGCTAAAATTGCAAAAGGAATCTCAAAACATCACCCTCTAATTGTGACGAATTTGGATGATAGTTCTGTATAAATAATATTAAAATCGAGGGTACTTTTGTAAAATGGTCCGAATATGGGTGGATGCTCGTTCTTTAGAGGAAAAAAATGAACCTATTCGCAAACTGTGAATATCTGTTAGTGGAATCCGAACCCCAACCCGAAATGAATTGTTCTTACCAGTTGCAAACATTATCTACAAAATTTTTAATATTGAATGCAATATACCTTTTCCTCCCTCACATGTTATTTGTACATCAATTGAATACTTAGAGACATTTATAGGAAAAAAAAATGTTGGATTAGGAAATTACTGATTATGTGCATGCATATACATTTGTATTTATATAGAAATGTTTTATGTTTCTCGTTTTGTAACAAAGACAGACATTATGACTTAGTATGACACCTCTCCTATAAATGTTAATCTGTTGGTGTCCTTATCCAACGTCTTCAAACATATTTTATTCCAACCAAATGTTTGTGTTTATTTGCGGGATAATACTAGAGTTCCGAATTTATTTGGTAAAAAAAAATAGTCTAGAATTTATTTTGAAAATTTTGGCTTGAATTATTATTATTCTAATTTCCACTCCATTTAATATATTAGAACCGAAATTACTAATTCTACAAACCACATAAGATAAAGATAAAGAATGGTTATACAAATATATGAAATTATTAAAATCTCTTAAATAAATACGTTAGTATTTTTTCTACTAAGATACATGAATTATGCAAGTGTCTTCGGTGGCAAGCCGCAAGCCCAAGAAGAGTGTAGCTTCTGATCGATCTGGTGGGTTGGGTTTAGGACAAAGCCCAAGGAAATTGGGAGATTGAACCGGAAATTAGACTCCGGTTTAGGACTTGATCAAACGGTGTGTTTTATGAAGGGATAATAACGTCTTTTCAGGAAGTCAGGCTATGTATACAGAAGCAGACTGAACCCAGCAGCGAGGGTTTCTCGGCTGTCTATTCCCGTGTCTCTCCTTCTCTCTCGCGATTCCTTCGACCGCCGTCACCGGAGAATCTTCTCTGTATCCGTTGTTCTTCGCTTTCGGTAAGAGTTATCTTTCTCTATGGCTGTTGAAGAGAAAATTTTGTCTTCAATTGATTTTTTTGGGTATATGGATAAAACGCGCCTCTCATTTGATATTTTCTTCTAGTGTACCTTTTATTTAAAAAAAAAAAAATTCTGTCCTTGTTTTCTTGGTTTTGTTTCTGCGTCACTCGCTTTAGCTGTCGGTATAGTTTCTTCAAGCAGTGCGTATGGGTCTTCCCTCGATTTTTGTTTTCGATTCTCTCTAACATCTTCCCCGTTTCTTTTTGGAAATTTCCTCTGGAACTTTTTGCTTCTGGGTTTGTGTTCCCGTTCGATTTCTTTCTTTCTGGTTTAATTTTTGTTTTTAATTTGGTATATTATGGTCTGTTTAATATTTCCGTTTTGCTTTTTGTTTATACTGCTTAGGTAATTCGTTTGATGTTGAGTTTTCATGTTATGTTTGATGTTGTCTTATTTCTCACGTTTGGCTCATACGTACGCTTATTTTGTGAAATTGATTTCCTTTTGTTTAAGTTTGTTCTGAAAAATTGGAAATTTGTGGTATAGGATCAGAAGATTATAAAGAGAGAAAAAAATGCAAGCTTGCTGTGGAGGTGCTCTGATGAATTCTGTTCAGCAACCGGGGCGGGTGCAAGGACCCGTTTTTGGCCGGAGAATATCACCCATGACCAAGTTTCCCCAGCAATTGAGGTTCAGTTCTCTGAAGCCTTGTCGTTCTTCACCCCTTCAAGGCAGCTTTGTCAGTGGAAAGCCACCGTCTTCAGCCTCCGCTCCTATTCCCCAGATGGCCGGTTGGAGAGAATTTTCTTTATTTTCATGGCGATAGTATGAAGTTATGAAGAAATTGAGGATCTGTTGTTTTGATGTGTTTTTTGTTTTGATTGTGCTTTAAGGAAATGAAATTCCTTTTGTGGACTATTCGCTTAGTGAAGCCGATCCAGAGGTCAGAGAGATCATCTCGAAGGAGAAAGAGAGGCAATTCAGGAGTCTCGAACTTATAGCCTCGGAGAATTTCACGTCGCGAGCAGTTATGGAGGCTGTTGGATCATGCCTTACTAACAAGTATTCTGAAGGGTTGCCCGGTAAAAGGTAATAACAGTTGGCTTCTTCCAATTCCAAGTGGTGCCAAAAAACAAATTGAAACGTTTTTGCTTCTTGGTATTTCATGTTTGTTATATTTTGTTACTTTTTTGTTCACATCACAGATACTATGGTGGCAATGAGTATATCGATGAGTTGGAGACACTTTGCCAGAAGAGAGCTTTAGCAGCATTTCACTTAGATGCTACAAAGTGGGGAGTCAATGTTCAGCCATTGTCTGGTTCTCCTGCTAACTTTGAGGTCTACACTGCCATTCTTAACCCACATGATCGAATCATGGTAAGACCCTTTTTCTCGGTTCAATCCAATCTTTGCGTGTTTGGTTACCTAATAGCTTGTTTGATGCATTTAGGGTTTGGATTTACCTCATGGCGGTCATCTATCTCATGGGTTCATGACTGCGAAAAGACGGGTTTCTGGCACTTCCATATACTTTGAGTCTATGCCTTATCGACTTGATGAATCCACTGGTAAAGCATCTTTTTGTTTACATATATGCGCTTTCTTGTATTGATACATATTATCAACTTGGGAAGAAATTTTTATGTGGGATGGTTTCTTCTTCTCGCAATATTTGAACAGGTCTTGTGGATTATGACATGCTAGAGAAAACTGCCACCCTCTTCCGGCCAAAACTCATAATTGCAGGAGCTAGTGCTTATCCAAGAGATTTTGACTATGCTCGAATGAGGAAGGTAGAAATAATCAAACCCTCCAAAACGTATATTCAAAGTTTCAGGCTCATCATTACAATCTAAGTGTGACCTTTCCTGAAAATTCTTCGACTATTTTAAGATAGCGGATTCGGTTGGTGCTTTTCTGATGATGGATATGGCTCACATCAGCGGACTTGTGGCTGCTTCTGTCGTTGCTGATCCCTTTGAGTTCTGTGATATCGTTACAACCACTACTCACAAGGTACGTTATAGAGAATCATCCAAAATATTTTCCGTTTAAAAAAAACTGATTTACATCCGAAATATATTCCCTTATGGCACCATAGGTTTGAGAAACTAATTTTGCTTTGTTAATGATATTTGTGGAGTTGCTTGAACCATCCATGATGCTGCTATTTTAACGTTCAACCTGTGGTGCTATAATTTTTCCATTATTCCATTTTACAAGATTGTAACTTTTTAATGATATCGTCTGCCCAGTCTCTGAGAGGTCCCAGAGGTGGCATGATCTTCTTCAAGAAAGATCAAGTTAATGGTGTTGATCTTGAATCTGCCATAAACAATGCTGTCTTCCCCGGTTTGCAGGTTTACTACTCACTTTCTTATCTGTATATTTCAATTATACAAACTGCTCTTGTTTCCGTATAGTATTTCCTTTAAAAAATATGTTTTCAATGCATTTTCAGGGTGGGCCACATAACCACACAATCGGTGGTTTAACTGTTTGTTTGAAACACGCACAATCGCCGGAATTCAAAACTTACCAGAAAAGGGTATTGATCTCTCTCTGTAAAATGATATTCTGCCACAGTAAAATTTGAAACCATTAATCATATATATCTAATCATGGTTAATGTATTTGTTTAGGTTGTGGCAAACTGTAAGGCACTGGCAAATCGTTTGGTCGAACTTGGGTTTAAACTTGTCTCGGGTGGGACTGACAACCACCTGGTTCTTGTCGATCTTAGACCGATGGTAAGTCCGACATCTTCATTTTCACTGTAAATTCTATTGGTCCAAGGCGAATTTACAGAAAGGGAGATTGAATTTCATTGTAGATAATAATCTGAATGGAATTAGAAAGATGGAACTTCCAAATATCTAAGCTTTTTTGAGATAGAGAATATGTACGATGTTGTGATAGGTAACTGTGTTTTATGGTCGTGGATAGGGTATCGATGGTGCTCGGGTTGAAAAAATCCTCGACATGGCTTCCATCACTCTCAACAAGAACTCGGTTCCTGGTGAGTCTCGGCCTCTACTCATTTTAGTTTCCTCTAAAATTTGCAAAATGTTGCACAACCCTTTGCAAAAACCAATCCTTTGACCTATTAAATCCAATATTTGATGAAAAGAAAGTAGAGGAACTGCATTTGTCTATCTGCAAATCTACAACTGCAATCACTTACTGTTTAGTTCAATCACTCTGTTAGGTTAGAACGGTGAATATGCAAGTCTTATGTAATTGGGTGTTTTTAAGTGCTCTTCGATAATTTTGTTCTGTTCTTCGATGCACTGAAATTCCCAAACCCGTGATTTGAACCCAACACTCGAGTGTCGACAGGTGAGCAAACACCACCAAACCACTCGGCCAGCCAGCCGGTTTTTGAAGTGCTGTTGCCTTCCCAAAAGCTTGGAACTTGATCTTCAGTTGTAGTTAACTACTTTAACCTCAATGTTTTTTTTTCTTGGAAAAAATATTCGGGCAGGCGACAAGAGTGCATTGGTTCCCGGGGGAATAAGAATTGGAGCACCCGCTATGACGACCAGAGGGTTCTCGGAGAACGAGTTTTTGGCCACCGCGGAGTTCATCAAGGAAGGCGTCCAGATAGCCATCGAAGCGAAGAGGGCTGCCTCCGGCTCGAAGCTTCAAGATTTCATGAACTTCGTGACTTGCTCCGATTTCCCATTGAAAGACAGAGTTCAGAGTCTCAAGGAGAGAGTGGAATCTCTCACAACCAGGTTCCCCATTCCCGGCGTCTAATAAGTTTTCTGAGTTTCTTTTTTTTTTGCCACCAAATTGCAAAAAAAGAAAAACATCAGTTTTTGAGTTATTGCACCCAAAACCAAAGAGTATATGAACACAGTAGCTAGTTAAGATTCCCTTCTTTTCTTTTTACAAGAAATAATGTGGATGGCGACAAATTTATTATAACAATAAATTATAATGTTGCAAAATCAAAACATTTAACAGATTTTTGTATTATTTTGTGTAACAAATATGTAGGTTATAAAAATTAAAATTTTTCTTATATAATGTAGGTAAAATCTCATATAACCTAAGGTTGTTTCCGAACTCGGAAACGTTGGTCAAAGAATGTCCGAAAATTCATGGGTTTACAATGTTTTCGATTTTTGGTTGAGGTTTGTTTATTTTGATTCAACAAAAATATATGGAACTTTCTTTGTCCAATCTGATTTTGGTTTTCGTTAAAAAAAAATGTGTTCAACTAAACAAATTTGTATTCCATTTATATTCTATTTAACAAATTCGGTGACGAAATTGAGATTTAGATGGATTTATTTGCAAGAAAGGAAGTATTGGGTCAAAACATGAAAAAGATAATAGTTTGAGGACTTAACTACAAAATATTAAAGAGCAGAAATGAAGAGTAGGGGTCAACAAGCTCTCTTTCCTTCCGTCACGACCAACCATGAGCGGGGACCTTCCTCCTTACCCTCCTATCGATCCCACAAATTACGATCTCGTCGTCGTCGGCACTGGCCTCCCGGAATCTGTCATCTCCGCCGCCGCTTCCTCCGCCGGGAAATCTGTCCTCCACTTGGACCCCAACCCCTTCTACGGCTCTCACTACGCTTCCCTCCCTCTCTCCGATCTGTCTTCTTTCCTGCAATCCCACTCAATATGTCCACCGCCGTCTCCGCCGTCAGACAAACCTCAGGATTTCCTCGCTGTGGATCTCACGACCCGTCCATTGTATTCGGGCGTCGAGATCAACGACTTCGCCCCACAGATCCTCGAAGAACACTCGAGGAAGTTCAACATCGATGTGTGTGGACCAAGGGTTCTGTTCTGCGCCGATAAATCAATTGATTTGATGCTAAAATCAGGATCCAACCATTACGTGGAGTTCAAGAGCATCCATGCCAGCTTTGTCGGGGACAAGAGCGGTGAGTTGCAGAGCGTTCCCGATTCGAGGGCTGCCATATTCAAGGACAAGAGCATGACATTGATCGAGAAGAATCAACTCATGAAGTTCTTCAAACTCGTTCAAGAGCATTTGGGTTCGGCTTCTGAGAGCGAGAGTATGTCGCAAATATCGGAGGAGGACTTAGAGACTCCGTTTGTGGAGTTCCTGGAGAAGATGCGATTGCCTCCCAAGATTAAATCGTAAGGTCTCCTTATCTTTGGTCGTAGTTCTTTGCAGATGTGACTCTATCCATGTCGTTTTACTGCGAGTATCGATTTCAATCTGGTAACAGCATCTTGGTTTTCTCTTCTCCGCCTTGCACAGGATCGTCTTGTACGCCATTGCACTGCTAGATTATGATCAAGACAATTCTGAAACTTGTAGGAATTTACTCAAGACAAGAGACGGTATAGATCGCTTGGCTGTATATAGTTCATCTGTTGGCAGGTCAAATTTTGCTGCCTTCCTTCAGCTACGGTGGCTTTGTTTTATTGGGTTTATCTTCTTCGTTTTTGCCATGCTTGTTATAATCAGTCATATGCTACTTTTGTAGTTTAGATTTTCTAACGCACTTGGGGCATTGATATATCCTATTTACGGTCAAGGAGAACTTCCACAAGCCTTCTGTCGCCGTGCTGCCGTTAAAGGATGCCTTTATGTACGTTTGAATGATGTGATGGTCATAGACATTTTGGTTCATGAATGGTATATGATGTTGCAACTGCCATGGGCTTCTGTGATAACTTATCTCGTTGTCTGTATTTGAATGCAGGTTCTCCGAATGCCGGTTACTGCTCTGCTTCTAGACAAGGCAAGTGATACCCATAGATTTTGAAAACTTCTCTTGTCAAACAATGGTTACTTGATCGTTTTAATTGTTTATAGGATACCAACGAGTACAAAGGGATTAGATTAGCTTCTGGTCAAGACTTATTCAGCAAGAAATTGATTTTGGACCCGTCCATTGCCCTGGCATTGCCATCAATGTCATCATTGTCCAATCAGCTGAGGGACACTATTCATGTTCTTGCCCCAAAAGGCGACAGCATCGGGAAGGTTGCAAGAGGGATATGCATCATTAGAGGATCTGTGAAAGCTGATATATCGAATCTCCTTGTTGTATATCCGCCTTCAAGTAAGATTTGGTATTTTTTTTGCACTCCTGTAGTTACACATCCTCATGTATAGAATAACTATGTTTTTTGAAGTTGTGCTCATTCTTTTTTCATTGTTTTTGGTGGTTGTTGATATATCTGCAAAAGGGGATGCTCATTTTTTTTTTATGTTTCTTTCTTAGCTTTATTTCCCGAGCAGGTGACTGCAATTCGTGTTCTGCAAATCGGTTGCAGTTTAGCTGTTTGCCCCGAGGGCATGTAAGTTTGAGCCTTTACGGAAGATCCTACCAATCTCCTTACATTGTCCTTTTGTTTCTTTTCACTTGCATGCTTATTTGGTTCCAGCAACATATATCCAAATTTTCAGGCTTTAATCTTGTCCCGTTAGACACAATATTAGGGGACTTGAGTTTACAATATTTGATTTGCTGCAGGCATGTTTTGTATCTGTCAACTTTGTGTGAAGACACTGATAAAGGGAAGGAAATGGTGAAAGCTGCTATGAATGTTCTCGTCACGTTACCTGTTCTTCCGGGTATTCTTGAAAGCGATTCTGAGGCTCTGAATGACATTTCCGTAAGAAAACCCACTGCACTCTGGAGAGCACTGTACGCGCAGGAGCTGATCAAGGTTCGTTTCATTATTCATGGAGAAATTCTCAGACTTTTCTGCCACAGAGGATTTCACTTTCGATGCATTGATGTCTGCAACTTGATGCCAAATCTTTTCTTAAAACAGATTTTTAAATGTTTCAGGGTGAGATTGGTGTTATTAGTTCTTTGTCAATGCCAGATGGGAATCTGAACTTCAGCGAAACGGTGGAATCGGCCGTGAAGGTAAAAAGATTCATCACACTCTTTCTCCTTTTAATAGCTTTGCGAAGCAAAGTACAAAAATTCGATTTGCCACACTGAAATTAAGAACACAGTGTGTGGTTGGGCAAAAGAAGTTCCGATTTTCGGTTCAGTTAGGTTTCTATAACCGGAACTTTTTTTTAAACCAATCTGAAACCAAAACTTAAACCGAAATGAATGAAACTGACCCAAAAATGAATTTGGCAGATGTATGAGCAACTCTTTGGGAGTGAAGAACTGTTTCAAGAGATTGTCTCTGAGGAGACAGTGGATGCTGAAGCTGAAGCTGAAGCTGATTGAGCAAACTTCGTTTTTCAATCCCTACAATGTTTTGTGTTATTATGAAATGATAGACGAAGAAAAAGCAAACAAACATAAGATATTAGAGAGAGTTCTAAAGGATATTATACATTGTACAAAAAGTTGTGGATACTGTCTTTGTTGGTTTATTCCAATCGTTATCTTCTATTGTGGTAAATTAATTCTGTTAGCTTCTATATTTCATAATTAGAATATATTGTATTCCAATCGTTATCTTGTTTTATTTGAAATGAATTAATCCTACGGCGATGTTTGTTTTTTTTTTTCAAACACAAATATATATGGGAACAGACAGAGTATCCGGAAATTCCAATAGAAAAGTTCATATAAATTAGCAGATTTGTTATAAATTTTCAGATTAATACACAAAATTTTAAAATTTCTAAAAAACACACAATTTTTTCTTTTTATTTGACTTCGTGAATTTCACGAAAACCGCTAAAGAAAATCCATAAATTTTATACGAACTGAAAAAAATACACATGGTACGCTCATATTTGATATCTGAAGTTTCGGATAGTCTAAAGAATTGGATGAAAATAACATTACCGAAAAAGAAATCATCTAAAAAATCTATAGAAACAAATCCTTCGTGTAAAGCAAAAAAAAAAAAAAAAAAAAAAAAGCAATGAATACAAATTAGGGGTGAGCGTTTCGGGTTTCGGTTCGGTATTCAAGCGGTTCGGTTCGGGAACGGTATTTTCGGTTTTATAAAAAGTGTACCAAACTAGAACCGAATGTTAAACGGTTCGGTTCGGTTCGGTTTTAGTATCGATTCGGTTCGGAACAGTATCATTATATGAATACCAAATAAATACCGAACTATAATATTTACACATATATTAGTGGAATATTCGAATTTTGGTTCGGTATTCATACGGTTCGGTTCGGTATTCCTACGGTTCGGTTCGGGAACGGTTCATTCGGTTCCATAAAAAGTGTACCAAATTAGAACCAAACGTTATTCGGTTCGGTTCGATATGGTTCGGTTTCGGGACGGATCGGGTCGGTACTAAATTCCCGAACCGAAGTGCTCACCCCTAATACAAATAACATGCGCAAGTAACATAAACCCCAAACCAAAAGAAAACAGAACAAGAGAATGAGCTCTTGCAGGTCTTGAATGGATCTTATGGATTCACATATCCACAGGCCCGAAGGGATTCCACTTGCTTTGTTCATCGGAAGGCATAGGGTCCCCAAAAAAGCTAATCTTTGGTCTCCTCTGATCTTTCCCAAGTGGGAAATTCCGAAACGAATCCGAGTTCTTGAAGAATATGTAACATGCAACGGCTGACACCAAGGACAGTCCCAATAGCAGCACATAAATCTGCCAGTCTGCATATACATACAATACATATATGTATGTATGTATGTATGTATGTATGTATGTATGAAACTGTAAGATGACCCGACATTCTGGGAGAGAGAGAGACCGACCTTTCCAATCGGATGGTACAGCGAGTTTGGTCACCATCTCTCCCCACTGGACTGAACTTGTCAGCAAAACCCTAAGAACCATTCACCAGACATTATTACACAGAGTAGAAAACAATGCTTTTTTTTTCATCTGCTGAAGGTTGTTTTCCTTTCATAAGGGCAGAACTCTAAAGAAGCAATGGAATGACCAAGATGCAAGCTCTTGCTATGACGGTAGATTTCCATAGTCTTGATTTCCGCGACTGAGACATCTCCATCTTTGCTACCCCTGCAATTATGGGCAAAATTTGAAGTTAAACTCATCCAGTAAAAGCAAAACGCAATTCACGGTTATGTCGATGCGCGATTGTGAACAATTTCGATTACGTTTTCTGGCGATTGTGCACGATTGACATTGACCGGTTGATGAACTAGTTGTTGTGGCTGATTGATAAATGCTGAGATTTCGATTTGAGGTAAAATTACAAAAAAGTAGTAGTAGTAATTATTTTAATTCTTTTTACAATTATTTGATAAAGCCTAGTTACCTATAAAATAATTAATACAAATTTTTAACATAAAAATTTCATCAATTTCAATTTTTTGAATAAAAAATAGGGATATTTGTTGCGATTGCGAACGATTTCGATTCAACCAACAAGTTTTTCAATCGCCAGCAATAGCCAAAAGCCGCGATTCCGCGATTGTAGGCGATTACGTGATAAGTTGACAACTAGTCAGGTCCTAAGCCGAAGGAGCACTCACAGAGCAATATATTTTCCGTCGAGGCTCACTGCCATCGCGGAAGCAGCCTTCCTTATCAGCTTCTTGTACCCGATTTTCTTCCATGTACAAATGTCATATACATTCACCACAGGCGTCTCACCTGCTCCGGCACTTTCATATGTCAACACAACAGAAAATCAGCTTGTGTTTTGTAATAGTTTAATCAAGACAGGGAAGAAGATAGCATACCTTTCTGGGCAGCACAAAACAAGAATGGCTTCGTTCCATCTTTAGAGAAGCGGCATAATTCAATGTTTTCATCCTACAATGATAATATTCATATAGGATAAAGATATCAGTAAATAGCAAAGGCAAATATTTGAAAGTTTCACAGATATTCAGATGGAAATGTAGAGAGAAGGGCTTAATTCCTGCAAGCTTCTACAATTTATTCACATCTACACTCAGGGAAACACAAAAACACAAATCAAACAAATGCCAGAGAATGAATTTCTCAGAAATTTTAAAAGAAGCTAGCTCATCTTGAATGCAGATTTCATAGGGTAGGATTGTTCTTGAAATAGAGAGATACTGATGCAGACTGGACTATTGCTTCATCACATACCGGATTTCGTGCTAGAGTTGCCACAGGAAAACCATCGTCTGCTTTCCATATTCTCGCCGAACCATCAGTTGGTGTTGTGGCCAAGAACTCCGAGTCGAGGCTACAAAAGAGATTGCATGTATCAGATTCGCACGTTCTGTACCAGATTTGGCGAGCCAATGGCAAATATTCCCCATCCAACCACAAGTGCTTCCGCATAATTTTCCTTTTCTTGTGTTCCTTTTTATTTTGAGAACAGAAATAAGAGAGCAAAACAGTATTGATCATCCTTTGATGTGGTTTCAATACTTTAACAGGAGCATCTATTTATTGACAAGCATTACTTTTAATCATGTGTGAAACTATGGGGACGAAGGAATTCTGTCCTTACCTAAAATCCATATCCTTGAAGGATTTGTGCGCCTTTGGCTCGTCCAAAATTAAACGTAGGCTTGGCCACTCGAGAATTCTTAGACATCCATCCTACAGTTAATATTACAGTTAGATATAACAGAAAATATCATTGCACCATACGGCTAAACAAGACAATAGAAAAGAAACTCTCGGAAAAGTAGAGACGTTTCAGTTCCTCTTACCTCTCCCCCGGCCGCAAGTTTGCATCTGTCAAAGCTGAAGACCAAACACTTCTGTGGCCCGACATCTTCAAGAGGAAGGAAATTTTGGTATGTTTCTCCTCTACAAACCTCAAACAACCTGAACATCAACCATATTCCATCAACAATTTTGTCTGCCTGAACTAAAGTAGATAATATTCTCATGATAGTTGCACACGTATGTTGATATGGCTTCTACAAGGTATAGATAAAATCTACAAATTTGCTTTGGCAAGGCCATCTTACAGTGTTATTATGGACATTGCGCCAAAATATGGAAATAAGAAGGCAAATCAAACTTTTTCTACAGAGAAACAAACATTTAATTGAAAAAAAAACTAAGATCAGCATATAAGTTTGAAGTTTCATCGTACTTGCAACCCCCTTCTGAAGTCGAGCAAACAAAATTATCTCCACAAGGGTGGACTGCAATTGCTATGGGATCACCGTCACTCTCTTCAAGTGTACGTGTAACCTTCATTCAATTAAGGGGGGGAAAAAGTGGTTTTATGTTTTCATTAATCGGCCAAAATAATGACAACTACATGTAAGAGAAGAAAGAATCCATCAATGCCATACAGAAGATGGGAGGAAAGCAAAAACCAAGGTTTCTAAACACCCAAACTAGGTGGCAAAGACCAGAGTCACAGACAGGAGATGAAAACCCTCGTTTCTTCCTATGTTTCAGTTACCAACGAAAAGTGACCAGAGGCTCTAAACTCGAGGCACAAAAATCTACAAAGATTGAGAAATCCAGGAACAGAAGCCAAAAACCCAATTGAAAGAAACAGCATAATAACCTCAGTTCCTGTTCCCCACAAACAAACAAAAAAAAAACCCTCCAAAAACATGGAAATTGATAAGCTGAAAATCCAAATTCGGAAGCAAACCCCACCGAATCCAGATGTTAATACACATACCAGAGGAGAGGAGGGGAGAGATGAAGTCGTGGGATCGAAGGAGAAGATCTCAACGGCACCAGCAGAAGAAGAAGTAGACGAGCCACGGCCTTTCGCGGCTCTGCCCAGTGCCCAGAACGACCCAATTCGCTTTCTCGGGTCGACGGATCCATGACCCGCATGTTACGTGCCCGATTCGGACTGACCCATCTCCAACCTCCGTTGATTTTGTTCTTCAACACTTAGCAAGACGTGTAAATATCCGGTTTTATTTTAAGAGAAAAGGCTCGGGCGTCACGTTGTTGTATTGGACATACAAGTTTGTAAATTTATATTAATAATCCAAATTTAAATTTTGGTCCTATATATGGTCAAACCTTTTATGCAAAAGGTCAACGTCTATCTGATGAATTCGAACCACGGTAAATGGTGAATACGAACAATCTTGAATTTGAAAAATGATCTCTAGACATGATAGTGTTAGAATCGGTTGAAGATTTGTATATATATTGAAAATCGGATAACTCAATTGATATGAATATATCAAATCCCATTCTCAATTCATATTCAAATTTCTATTTAGGAGAAATATTCACGTATAAATACGATATTTATGATAATAGTTATATGTATAATGACATTATATATTGGATGATAAATCATTTTAAAACAAGTTGATATATAACATTAGTAGTAAGAATACGAAACCTATATTTGTAGGCTCTAACCCTTAATATTTTCGGGCTTCCGGATTCATATACATCCCTAGTATTCATTAAGTCTAATATTCATAAGTCGAAGTATCTGCGTATTTTCGGACTTTTCCTAATAAAAGGAAGAAGAGAAAACTATTGCACGTGTTTCAATTATTTCGAACCGGTTATCAGCCGGTAAAATAGGTTTCCGGTTCCGGTTGCAACCCGAACCGGATTGACAAGCAGGTCGCGATTCGACCGGTCCGGGTTTTCTAAACTTTGATGAATACTATTCATCGTGGGTTTATTCGCGGAGCTCGCCCTGCACGGCCGTCGTCCCTGCGATCTGAGCAAAATTAAAAGTTCGTCCATTTCATCTCTCTCTCGCCTCGCGTTTGTTCTGTCTCCTTGAATCTTCTGAGGAGTGTTCTCATGGTGCTTTCACGGCTCCGACATCCGGCGATCAGCCGCGCTACGTCACTCCTCCGAGCTCGTCTCTTCGCTTCGTCCGTTGCTTCCTCCTCCAGATCGCTTGGACGGTATGCTCATCCTGCAAATTTTTCGGAAATGTTGACTCGCTTTTTCAATATTCCCATTTCCAGAATTTCAGATTTTTGGACATGTGAATTTGTCTGCTAGGCCTCTGATGTTGTATCGGAGAAGCTCCCATTGACTTTGTCGTTCTTGGTGTATATTGTAGTGATGTGGAAATTTCTGATTTTGGGTGATGTTGATTTTCTGGGTATAATGAAAATCTATTGAATTTATCGAACCATTTTGAATTCTTAAACACCATTTTAGTTTTTTTTTCCTTTGTAGTTGGATCGAATTTTTGACGTTTCTCTTCTCAGTGAAGAACCAGCATATGTTCTTTGAGCGTTGATGAAGGACATGAATTCTGGTCTAGATGATCTTCATGTTTCTTTGGTTTCTATTACTAAGTCTGTTGCAAGTTTTAGTATTTATAGCAGACAGGTTTTGCCATTATTTATCGGTTATTGTATCTTCTAACTTCTAAGCTCTCTCTCTCTCTCTCCCTTGTAGTTGGTGAATTGCACGCTAGAAAAACAAAGCTGTGGTTCACTCCTTTTGACATTAGTTGTTTTAAGTCCATTCTTTTGTACTCTTTAAAGCAGAACTCTGAAGGATCATGTAGAAAGGTTACTTTATAATCAGCACTGCTGTTCTGTCACAGTATAAGGATGTCAACTTACATGTATGATGTATCTGCTGATAGAAAAGAGAAATTATATTTTGAGCACATCAGTAATATATGCCTATGGAGAAGTTTTTGACTCAGAATACTTATGATTATTACATAAAATAGATGAATAGGTTATTGGATAAAGTTTTCATTTTGGCCAGCACTGAGTGATGACATTACTGGTGAAAGTCAGGTTAACATTATTTGGTTCTGGCTGTTTAATCAAGATAGCCCATCATGGGAGTGGATAACTTCTCCCCCTCTTTTTGTTCGAAGCAACGTTTTCTGACATGATCACTCTTATGTATGCAAAGAATCGTGTATGGATTTTATAATTTCTCCATGTTTCTGATATATTTAACCCTGAACTCATTGTTTCAGCATTTCTAATGGGCAATGCTGCCTAGGTGACAAAAATGGCGCCTGTATGAGGTATGTATGTTAATCCACAGCAATCTTTTATTGTTTTGCTGTCCCTTAATGGTACGAGGTATGTGTTCCACATCACAAAGGTAGAATTCCTGTTGAGCTGACAACTATGCGAATAGAATTATTACTGTTGGTGAGAACTGCGTCATCATGCAATTTTTTGTCATCTTTCTATCCTTCTCTTTGTGTTTGGCTTTATTCTAAACTCCTTTTCCCAGTTTTCTATAGTTAACAGGATGATTGCCTTTCTCAGTTTGAAGGAACTCCTCGATCTTCTCTGTGAAAATGATGTTTCTTTGTCCTGGAATTAAGGACCAAATGTATTTCTCATTTAGCCGGTAACTAGTAGTCTCGTACAAACACATGCATAAAGCGTAACAGATGAGATTTTAAAAAACAGTTGTGATGGATTTCTAATTCATTATCCGGGTTGATTCATCTTAGCTCGCTAATGTTGGTGTAGTTTCTGATAGCTCTTCACCAATCTTTTTGTTTTCCAACAAATTTGTGTTGATCTTTTCTGATTTCTTTTTGGTCTACATGTTATAGGTCTCTGTCCGTATCCATGGTTAAAGGAATAGATGATTGTCCTCCAAAGCTTGGTGTAAGTTGGGCAGTTGGTACTGTTTTAGCTTTCCTATATTCTTTTTTCTCACATATGTTTTCTTGCAGTTGCGACATGGCGTTCGGCACTTGTCGTCTGCAGGTACGTATAAAATGCTCATTTATGTTTTTCTCGGAACAACCTGTAGTTTGTGTTTGCATTTTTGGTTCATTTCTGGAATAGAAAGCGCTTGTGCTACATTGCCTGAAGTTAACAACCCTGGAATAAATGGAAATGTGGTATAAACTTAACGAGAACTCAATCAACAGTATTACATTTTCTTTCATTATCCTTATCTTTTTTTCCATTTCTTTTAGCATGCATATTGATTTTACGCATAAATCATAATACATGTTGGTCACTTGGGACAATGTGGGTGTCGGATTTAATGGTTATGCAATGAGAATGCTGACAAATAATACTTTACCAAGATTTGTAAAGAGGATTACCAAAACTATCCACGTGTGAGGAATCTTGTTGGTCGTGAATTGACTTACCGACAGTAGTAAAATTTGTTTAGCCACAATAATAATCAAGATCCACAAGTAAAGAACAACCTATGGCAACTTTCACCTTTTCTAATCAAACAAAAGATGGTTGTTGCAATGTTGCAATAACCTACCAGTGCTCTTTCTTACTTCTGATGTTGGTATTTTTTTCTATGCTTGGATTGAGTGACAAAACATGATATTTATTTAACCATAAAGTAGGTCACTTTCTTTTGTTGAAATCCGTGTACTATGAGGAAATTACATTTGTCCTCATCTTTATTATGCAAATATTTCCTCATTTGCCTATCTTTTTTTCTTCTGCAGAATCGGCACCCCACACAGTTCTTAGAATGCCAGCCTTGTCTCCCACGATGGTCAGGAATTGAAATTTCCACCTCACCTTAAGAATTACTATCCTCCCTGCTTTAAATCGTTGTTCTACGTCGTTGGACTCTTGCAGACTCAAGGAAATATTGCAAAATGGAGGAAGAAAGAAGGTGACAAGGTGGGTATTTCTGAATTTCGGTTACGACTATGAATCGGTTGCTGAGGTTGATGTAGTTGAAGAATAATTGTTAAATAAACAACAAGAAAGTAGATAATTTTAGATAACGGAGAGAAAAAATCTGAACATTATCAATGTCCATTTCAAAATATTGATTTCTTTCTGACAGATAGAGGTGGGCGATGTTCTATGTGAGATAGAGACAGACAAAGCAACTCTTGAATTTGAGAGTCTTGAAGAAGGGTAACTCTACAAATCTTAAGTGAATTTGTGAGGTCCTAATTTGTATATTTGATTCCACCATTTTACTATGGACAAATTTCTCTCTCTCTCTCTCTCTCTCTCTCTCTCTCTCTCTCTCTCTCTCTCTCTCTTTCTGTGTGTGTGTGTGTGCGTGTTAGTTGACTTAGAAATGAGCATGTTTGTGTAGATATCTGGCAAAAATCATAGTAGCTGAAGGATCAAAGGATGTTATTGTTCAAGAGCCTATAGCAATAATGGTGAGTACATACACAGTCGTATTCATTTAAGGAAATAAAGCATGATTTGTATGATTTTACTGCCAGGTAGTCTTATTGTATACTCTTTATTTTTTGTTTTAAATTCTTGTTGTCGCATCCTTGATGACTTTGATCATGTAAACCTTTTCATGTTGCTTTGTGACTGGGAGTTTATTTTGGTTTGGGGCCAAGTAACCAATCAATCATTCTGCTTTTTCTTGTTGTTGTTCTTGCCGTTTGTTTTATTAAGTTATCTTGTCCTTAACTTACTGGGAATATTGTATTTCAGAGAAAGAAACTGCTCATGCTGCATCCGTTTGATACAGAAGTCTCTAAATTTGCTTTGACTGTTATTTAAGGTTGAGGAAGAAGATGATATTCAAAATGTTCCTGCTACCCTGGAAGATGGATTAGTAGGTAAAGAGGAAACATCAACTCGTCAGGAGATAAAACAGGAAGAAAGCATGCAAGACAAAGGTTCTCTTCAGTCCGATACATCTGATTTGCCCCCACATATTGTCCTAGCAATGCCAGCACTGTCGCCAACAATGGTATTTTAACTTTATCTGGATTTTGTGCTACTTTGTACTGGATGAGAATATCCGGCGTCCCTTTTCTTGAGTTGATATGCATATTGATGTGCAGGACCAAGGTAACATAACCAAATGGAGGAAAAAAGAAGGTGACAAGGTTAGTATTGGCAACTTAAGTGAGAAGAGTGATCTGGCTTATAATTTATCCCAAAGGATAGGTTTTTCATTCTGCAGTAGCCTGTATTCATTCTTGCATTTTATTGGTCAACAGATTGAAGTGGGTGATATCATATGTGAGATCGAGACAGACAAAGCAACACTGGAATTTGAAAGCCTTGAAGAGGGGTAATGTTTTTAAATACTAATTATCTTGCATGAATTCATTTGGAGGTCTTGTACCTATCAATACTTGCATGGTGGAACTATAAGTTTTCCTAAGCTTGCTGCTTACCGTGGCACATTATATCTGGCATTCATTATCTCTGCTAAGATGTACTTTATATCTATTAAATGGGAGGAAAATATCGGTGATGTGTCTTTAGCAAGGTTAATTTGTTGGTGGGTTCTCTCTCTTGAAACAAAAGAGTCCTTTATTCTTTTGGCTGATCTTCTTTTCCTAACAATAATCTTCCTTTACTATGATTACAATACGATGCAACCTTATGTTGTAACATCTTTGTCATCTTGAGGGAATGACAAAATGACTTTAGATACATTATTTTCTGAGACCTGAACGTCGAGAAAACGCATAAATTCAACCCTTGAGCTGCTTCAGTTTGTGGACTAGGGTTTGTGATTCAGGGTGTTTTCCTCTCTCTAGATGGTAATATGTTGAAACAATTCTTTAGGAGCCTAGTGCAACACCGTTCATATTAGTGGAGTAGCCAAGATTCAAAAGTCAGCCCATTTTATTGGGCATTTTTGTTGACTTTATTTTCTCTATATGAACTTTGGGCTGAATCGGCTGATAATGATATGATGTGATATCGATGATGCATCTATCTACTTAGTTTGTCACATTATGTGAAAGATCTTTCTTTCTGCAGCCAAATTTTGAATTCAGCAACAAGGCTACATAGAGAAGATTTATACTGGCTGCTGTGCCAGTAGGCTAATGAGGGAAATTATACCGATGATTATGTAACTCAGTGACTGTTTTCTGTTGTAGGTACTTGGCCAGGATCCTAGTTCCTGAAGGTTCCAAGGATGTGGCCGTTGGAAAACCTATTGCACTTATTGTAAGTCTTTTAGATAGAAAAACATAGCTGAAACAAATTGTTGATGTTAGCCGATGTAGTACTGTCTTGCATGTGATGAGCATTTTGGTTATAAAATTGTAGTTCCTCTAGGGTCATGACATGACATCTATGTATTTTTCCTAACATGAAAGTCATGCATGCACAATCTTCTAAAACTTTTATGCAAAATATGTTTTACCAATATTTAATGCTGAAAGCAAGATTTTATGTCTATACGCCTTCTCCTAGGTTGAAGATGCTGAAAATATTGAAGCCATCAAGTCTTCTTCCACGGGTGGTTCCCAGGCTGAGAAGGGAGAACAAGCCCGTCAAGGAGTTGTTGATAAACCTGGAGATGGTAAACCAAGCTTCACAAAGATCAGTCCTGCAGCAAAACTACTCATCTCAGAATATGGATTGGAAGCATCATCACTTAAAGCATCTGGTCCTCGTGGTACACTACTGAAAACGGATGTCCTGGCCGCAATTGCTTCCGGAAATATATCAAAGAAAACATCTGTTCCTACCAAGAAGAAACATCCATCAAAGGAAACCCGGTCTGAAGCCTCTTCGATATCGCTGCCTGAAACAAAGTCTACTCAGACACAATCAGACAATTACATAGATTTGCCCAATAGTCAAATTCGTAAGGTAAATTTTCAGTTCCTGCTCTCTATTTGGAGGTGGATGAAATGATGTGAGAAAGTTTCTTCTTATGGGGACAAGAAAGATAGAATTGTTACACTTCTTTGCAGAAAATGCAAGCACGTCGTAAGGCTTCTAGGGTAGTTTTGAGTGGTTCAAAAGCTGCCATTAAGAAGGAAGTTTGGCAAGTTTCAGCTTCTTTGATAGGCATGGCGTTTGAAATAGTTTTCTAATCTATGTTCTTAATCAATATGGCTACTTAGCAAGGCTTAACTTTTAGTTATATTTTTACGTTCAGCATGCTAGAAGCATGATTCATTTGTTGCAGTCCTGGAATTGCATCGGGGGAAGCTGTGAGAACTTTTGAATCTTTGAGAATACTAGTATACCGATGGATTTTAATAAATGCCTGTTAAAACGTATAGAGGGGGAAGATACTTTGTAAATTGAAATATGCTGATTGGATAATAACGAGGAACTACACATTTTAGTGTCCCATAAATTCGTCATAAAACTGATCCTTGTTTGACTTTTCCTATTATATAGGTTATAGCGAGACGTTTACTGGAATCAAAGCAGAATACACCACATTTATATTTGCAATCAGGTTTGTATTTCGCTATCTATCAGATTTTCTTTGCCCATTTTATCTTTTATTTAAACATTTGTCTGGTTCTGCAGATGTAGTATTGGATCCACTTCTTGCGTTTAGAAAAGAACTTCAAGGTATGTATACTTTTTCTTGTCTCACGCCCTGGTCATTGTTAATGGCTTGATGAGTGGCTGAGCCTTAAGAACTACTATACTTTTATGATCTACAGAAAAACATGATATTAAAGTGTCGGTCAATGACATAGTGATAAAAGCAGTGGCAGTCGCTCTGAGGAATGTGCAGCAAGCCAATGGTGAGAAAATATGTTCTCTTTGTCTTTGACATTGTCGTCATTTGAGGACATATGTCCTGTCACTGTAGAATAAGAACTTGGCACTTGCGTTTTAAGGTCATCATATCCTAATTCGATGTCTTCTTCATTCTTTTGAGAAGGTTTAGTAAAGATGTCTCAGAACTATAATGCTTTACATAAAATTATTATGTAGTGCATTCCAGAATTTTATCCAAGTTGTCCAAACAGGATGTTTTTACATTACAATATGCGTCGATTTGTGCATTGCAAATTCATAGCAGATATCTCTTTCTGCCTCTACTTGATTTTTTGTTTTGATAACTAATAGTATTTCTTGTGAATGTCTGGTAGCATTCTGGAATGCTGAGAAAGGGGGTGTTGTTCTTTGCGAAACTGTTGATATATCAATTGCAGTTGCTACTGAGAAGGTAATTTTGTGTTGCCCTTTTTGTCTCCTTGATGATTTTACTCTCATCAACTCCCTCCGTATTGCAGGGCTTAATGACTCCAATAATCAGGAACGCAGACCAGAAATCCATTTCAGCCATCTCTGCAGAGGTAATTTAGTCATCATTTGCAGTTAAATGACTGTCTAAGTTGTGGAGTCTCTATTTTGCATCAATCTGCATATAGTGCAAACTTCGAATCATGGATTTGTACCTCATACTGCATCAGTTTCCTGTCACAGCAGTTACATAGAAGGTATAAGATTGATTTCTGAGTTGATCAACAGTACTTTTGTGGAACAGGTTAAGGAGCTTGCACAAAAGGCACGGGCTGGAAAGCTTGCTCCTCACGAATTTCAAGGAGGAACTTTCAGGTATATTTATTAGTTGGATCTGTCATTTGGATTTTGTAGAACTATTCCTATATCTCGATGAAGTTAAAAAAAAAACATTTCATAACCATTTTTCAGCATTTCAAATTTGGGAATGTATCCAGTGGACCATTTCTGCGCAATCATTAATCCCCCTCAGGTAATTTTGGCCTCAACATCTGCACCCTAATAAAAGATAGAAAGGGGGTGCAAGCATTCTATTTGGATTTTCCTGTGCATGATTTATATAGAAATTTTGTATTTTTTCTGCTAGAGTTGAGTTTTGAATAATTGTTCCGGTTTTTGCACTCACTTACTGAGAGTGTTGCCTTTCTGAATCTGTGCCAATTGTCTTGCAGGCTGGTATTCTCGCCATTGGTAGAGGAAATAAAGTCGTCGAGCCAATGATTACAAGCGACGGTGAGACACTAGTATTCCATCGGTACCCTACCCTGCCTTTACTTGTTACTATGATGGAATCCTGACAAAGTTTTGGCCACTCTTTCAGGAATTGAGAAGCCTTCAGTCGTGACGAAAATGAGTGTTACCCTATCCGCTGACCATCGTGTATTTGATGGACAAGTTGGAGGTACGTCTATGGGTCGATGCTGGTTTTCTGTTTGTTGGGGTAGTCGAGATTTGAACTTGGATACGAAAAATGATTATAAGTAGTTTGTGATGGCATGCAGAAAAGTAGTAACGGTTACTTCTGGTTTTTATCAAGATCATTCAAACAGTTGCATTGAGTCATTTACTGTCTCTCCGTTTGTGTTTCAGCTGCGTTTTTCTCCGACCTGCGTTCGAATTTCGCTGATGTTCGAAGACTTCTTCTGTGAAAAGAAACAATTTTCAAACTTGGCCAAGTTTGATATGTGGTTCCTTCAGAAAGCAGTGAATCCAAGAAAAACTTTTTCACTTTCAAAGCTCTTTAAGCACTTGTTGCTTTTTTCATTTCGATTTCTGAAACCAAAATTTGGTTTTGGTGTTTAATCTCGTAATGGATTTGTCTCTTCTCCACAATAAATTTTCATGTGTAAAGACAAAACTGATATGGCAAAGGGCCACTCAACATGACATGAAGGTTTTGGTTTTGAGTACTTTGTATTTCTATGTTACCATATAACAAATAAGGTTTACTCTATTTGATCGATTATGTAAGTATGGTTAAATTCTGAACGCCTTTATACATTTTGTAATGATGTTGAGGTTATATATAGTGTTGATTCCACATTGATATATGATGTGATGGTGTCACGATTTTACCACGTAATTCTCCATGTGCAGGTAACCTGAAAGTATTTTCTAAAAAGATTATGACTTATTTAGGAGTTCGACAATAGTTCGTGATTACAAAATCTTATATTTTTCTGAATGTTTTTACATTTTATTTAATTTTTTGTGTTTTTTAATTAGTACTTGCTTCATGTAGCTTTGTACAAGTAGGATAACATACAATTATAAAACAAAATCATGTCCAGGTTGTCTCTCTTCACAGTAGGGATCAAGAAATAACATAAACAACCAAACACTTTCATGTTGTTTAGTGTAGGGTTTGTATCCAAACCAAGCCTCGAATAGTCTTCTTGTCCAGGGACTTCGATGGAAGCCTGTTAAGCAAGAACACTGCTGTACTAGCAGACTCTGCCCAAATTTTCTTTGGCATATTCTTCTCATGCATCAGACATCTAACCATTTTCATGATGGTCCTGTCCTTTCTTTCACTAACTTCATTCTGTTGAGAAGTATATGGAACATTGAACAGATGTTTTGTTCCAGATTTATCACGTTTCTTGAATTTGTTCAAAGTATACTCATTTCTGTAGTCAGATCTCACAGTCTTTACTTGTTCACAGTCTTTACTTGTTTTCCAGATTTTTTTTCAATTTGTCATTTGAAATTCAGATTTATGTTGTCAACTTTGCATTTCTCCTTCATGAAGTATTTCCAGCAGTAACGAGTGAAATCATCAAACAAAAATGATGAAATATCTACTGCCAGTAAGTAATTTTTGTGACATTGCAGTGGCGGACCCAGATGAAATAATTAGTAGGGACAAATAATGAAAAAAGTTATAAGAAAAAAAAAATAAGGAAAGAAGAATGAGGGGACACACAACAAATTTTTACGGGGCATGTCATATTTTTCATTAAAATTTTATAAAAATATAACTAAAATAAAATTTGGTATGGGACATAGGATCCCATTCAAATGTAAATGGGTCCGCCGGACCGCACCGCACACGTTGGTATGAACCAGGTGGAGCTTCTCACTTGCTCTCAAGCTTGAAGACTTGTAAGGAATTCTGCTCTGTTTCCCCATGGAACATGCTTTGCACCTGATCTCCTCAATCTGCACTTGTGGAGCACCATCAACTACCTTATTTTTCTGCATATAAGCTAAGCCCTCTGCTTACCCTTTTCTACAGAATTTGCCTTGGCTTTTCTTTTTTCATGAGTGTCAAAGATCCAACTTGGTTAGCTCAACCGGTGAAATGGAGACACAAAACAACTGAAATTTAACAGTAATCCGAGAATGGAAACCTAAATCATCGGCCAAATTATGGATATAGAGAAGAAACGAGGAATACTGATGGTAAAGAAGCTTCTTTATCTCTGCTTTGTTCTTAATTATGCTAGTTCCTCACACATTCACACTTTACTCACACTTGTATTAGTTCTTGATGAGTTAATTCCAACATGTTCCATACCCCACCAGAATCACAAATTCATTCATAGAGGGCAACAAACCGTATTTACAAAGGGAATCATCTCTGTTTATCAGCATTTTCCTGTTACAGATCGCAGGTTGTACAAAAAAGAACATCAAACATAGACAGATTCTAAACTACAAAAAGACAAAACCAAGTTAAATAGCCAGACTTAGTTGCTTACTACTACTACTTACTACCTATCTGTGTGAGCAACAACACAAACATGGTTAGTCTCAAGCAAGAATAATGCCCAGAAGATCTGAAAGGAGTCTTCGACAGAAAGACGGGCAGTTTTGTCGCTTTAAATACCCACCAAATTCTTTGTGCATTTGCCCATTCTTGTACCCGTATCTCTTCTCTGCTGTAATTAATGGAATAATCCATGCATACATTATTCCATCTATGTATACAACAATTGCTTCTAGATTTATTATAAAGTGAATACTAGCTTTAATGGAGAAAAAAAAACTATACACACATTATGTATACAATAATTGCTAATCTTGAGCAAATTCCATGTTCTACAAGTCCAAGGCTGCTGCATAACAGAATCACAACAATTCTTAAGACTATTTTCCTTGAGCAAAGTAGGTAACAAGAGAAAGCTAAGACAGAACAGAGGACTGAAGTCAAACAAGTAAAAGTCATAAATAACATCATCTGTAGTATTTTATCTGATTGAATATATTGAAGAGCATAATTCCTACTGCAGTGAGGGAGGGTACCTAATCAAACCAGAGCTTTCAGTCGAAACTTTTGCCAAAGTTCAAGAACATGCTCTGGATATCTATCGACAAACCTTTTCACGAAGGCTTCTTCTTTCACTCTAAGTGCCCCAATGTAAGTAGAGATGCTAGGACGGCTTTCACCTAGAACACCCTTCGAATGCAAAAGATCAACAACCGAACACCTAGGGATGATCCTCTCCTCCAGATTGAAGAACAAGATATTCGGGTATTTGACAATATCCAAAGAGCTCAAACCAACTCTATTCAATAACACATCCATCCCCTTGCTTATCTTCTCCTCTGATAAAGTCATGATGTTAGGCTGTCTCTTGAAAGCCGTCAGAAAATCATCATTCGACCAACCCCATCTTTTATAAACCTCCAGTTTCTGATCCCAATTTGATTCAGTAATCTGACTAATCGCCCTTACAGCAGGAACAATCATGGGTCGGGAGGATTCAAACCCGAAACTCTTTGCTTTCTCCAACAACTCCTCAAGTCTAGAAGAGGGCAGGGCAAGTATACCTGGAGAATCCACCATCAATTTGGCAATGGAAGAATTGGTGACCCCATTTCCTCGGAGGAAAGAAACTTTAGCAGCCAAATTTCCCTCGAGTTCCAAGTGTAAGATACGTGATGAACGTTTAATGCTTTTAGCAATCAAATCATCCTGCTCAATAATGGATTTGATGAACTCGTAGTTCGGCTCCAGTTGGTTCTTCAAACTGGAAGTAAGAACTCTAGGATTTGCAGTCACAACTCTACAGACATCATTCTCCGAACCCAGTATGGACCGTAGAAATCGAAGCTTGGGAGTAAGTGTCTCAACACTGAATGAATATACCAATGGAACAGACTTTGAGACTTTGGCCATTTGTTTTGAAGTGAATCCATACCTTTGCAGCAACCCACTCACTGGATCGAGTTTCAATCCATCCTGCTTCTGCCCATTACGAGTTTCCACATCTCCGACAGATGAAAAAGCCAAACCCGAAAACCGAAACGCAATACCCAAATCGTCAACGAAATTTCCGGCGTTTCTCAAGTACGGAGAGTACCCAAGATCCCTTTTCAAATATGAAAACGCTGCCATGAAAAGAGACCCTGAGACTGAAATCAACGCGAAGAACTACGGGCTTTACGCCGATTCTTCGAGAAATGTAGCTCGAGTTTTGTAGAACAAGAACTCACATGTTAGCTCTCGCTCAAAAGGGTATTTCACGACGCTTATGAACTTCAAAAAATGTAGGTTGCCCACACGGTTTCTAAGGATTACCAGATGAAATTAGGGTTTTTCTCCGACGGTAGCGAGGGAGATTATCAGGACTGGGTGAGTGGGTGGTTTATTTTTCTAAATAAGTATGATTATTTAGAAAAATTGATCAAATATATAACAGAAGAAATTGAACCAATTTGTTTTACATTGAAGGCTATAAAATTATTTATAGGAATTGATATTTCGATTCAATTATACAAAATAAAATGGAATAAATTGGATCAAATTATATTTAACGGTATGAACAAATTTCATTCCATATCATTTAAAAAAAATGTAAAAACAATCAAAATAAAAATAAAAAAATGAAGTTTTTTTAAAAAATTATAAAATTTAATATAATTTAGATTAAATTGAACTGGAACAAATAAAGCTAGATATAAAATTCTAATAAATATAATTTAAAAGAAATCCAAAATTGGACCAAAACCGTAATGGAGATTTGTGCGTGTGTGAAATATTTCTAACAAAATTCCCTCGATATAACGGCGCTTCGACAAAATCAGATGGAGAAAGCGAAACTAATTTTTTTGGTTTTCAATAATAATTGATTATTTAATGAAACTAATTCATACATCTTATTATAAAACGAAATAGTAAAATTTTAATAGATTTACATTTGTCACTATAAGTTGTAATATTCGAGTTGATGTGTGTAGACCATTCCATTTACTTTTAACTTTTGATTACAAACGCTAAAGATACATTGAAAGACAAAAAAGAAAATCGATGGCATTTTCCACGTACAAAACCAAGAAACCAAACATGTAAGAACATGAATGAACACAAGCACTCAACGAAGACGCTGTTTTTTTTTAATATATTTTGCACACAAAGGATAAAACTCCACATGATCAAAATAGAGAACATACCCATCATCCACAAAGACCGTATTCTTTTAGGTAGACTTCGAGTCACGACAATGGCGAAAACCCAAAGGTACAAGGAGTAGCATTTATAGAGGGGGCGAAATCCGGAAACCAGAAAGCAGAGTAGAGTACCTTCGGGAGGAAGAAGAAGGTTCAACTTCAAGTCCTTTTTTTTTTTTTAACTAGAAGTAAGTACCTTCAGGAGGCTGGACGAGCTTCCGGTTCTGTGGAGCAGCCATTTCCTTCTTCAGCTGAGACAGTATATCCTCCATAGTGTACTCCCTTTGCCAGTTAGCTAGAAGGCCGAATTTTTTTGGCTCGACCTATTTTATATGTTAAGATTTGATCACGTCAAGAAACGGGTTGGAGTGCGTAAAATGAAAGGAATGGCACCATACCAGGCCGGATTCATGGTTGACACAAGTCATGTTGATACGAGAATGGAACCGGACACTTGGGGGTTTCTCGGGGTAGTCTTTGTCACAGAAGAGCTTCAACTGATAGATCCTTCCCTCATGCACGGTCTGCGCCAAGAGAATGTAATTGGATATCGGTTTTAAGACAAGGATAGATACCGGGTAATAATATCCTTGTCTCAAGGAATATGTGCAAAATCTAACTAAAAAACGAAATCCTCACATTGTGAGGACCGATGATAGTGCCAGTCCAAGAGCGCATGTAGATGTCATCCCCATCGTCCATACCATAGCTTACAGTTCCATCTCCAATACCCTTCTCCCCACGTTCAAGCTCCTCAAGCAACCGGAAGTTCCTCGGGACTACATTTGTGATAAAGCACACCCATATAACAAAATTACAGTAACAGAAACAACAAAAACGAGATTCATGCCGATCAAAACAGTGAACTGAAACGTCTCAGCAAGACTTGATGATAATCTCTACCATCCAATATTTGCTCTGAAGTTTCCGTTCAGTAAAACTTCCCCATATATACATACAAGTTCATGATCATGTTGTCAGATTCCAAGTTCCGACTAGGGTTTAGTAAAACAGTGATCCTGAAATGATGAGACTTCACCACCATATTCAATCCCTCCTAAAGGAACCGAAACAAGAACACCAAAATCCAAGGCTAGAAATGAAAAACCCTGAAACAGACCCAAATTGCAAAATCCAGGAATCAGTACTCTGATAATCACACGATTGACAATTAAACATAGATTTCAGAAACTTTCGTGTAAAGACCATCTCAAGATCGGGACCATCACGAGGAATTGGACTTACAAGTTACAAGTAGTGAACAATTTAGATGCATCAATCGAAGAATACACTCAGAGAGAGAGAGAGAGAGAGAGAGAGAGAGAGAGAGAGAGAGAGAGCACAGAGACGTAGAAATCGAATGAAAACAACAAACTTGTCGAGCAAAGGTATAGAGATTTTAGGCATGGCATTCAGAGAGCATTCCTCAAAAAAGTGATGAAATCGGGAGAAACCCTCGAGACCCATCAATGAAATGAACAAACCCAGTACGAATTTCACATCACATATCTGCAAGGCACGAAAATCTCCTAGAAAATATCCAAAACCCTAGAGAATAAATCTGTACAGGATCGAAAACTTCAACAAGAATAGACCGCGAGGAATCGAGAATTTTACCGACAACTCCAGATCCTCCTGAGCCAAGAGTCATGTTTGATCAATTGGGCGTCTCGATTCGATCGATTCTGAATCTGATCGGAGTAATTAAGAAAGAAATTCAGAAAACCAGAGAGAATCTGGTGAGAAGGCAAACGCAAATGGGGGAATAAAGTCGATCGAGAGGGGGCAATTGTGAATTTCTGGGAAAATCAGAGTGGGCTAAACATTTTTTATTCTACACAAAAATGGTTTTTATTACATATAAGTCCATATACTTATATAAACTCTTAAAATCACACCCACATGTCTTTTTTGAACAGTATTAAGTATTAAGCGCCCCTATATTTATTTATTTTTTAATCTTCTTGTGCATATATCTAACCTAATTTAATTTTTCTTTTGAACCGACAACAATAAACATTTTACCGATAAAAAGATAAATTCTATAATCGCCTATTTTAAAATTCAGTTGACTTTTTTTTAACAATTCTAATAATAAAAAAATATAATAAATTCGACAGCGCATTAGAAAATTCATTTTATAATATTTTGAACAACATATGTTAAATAAATATTTTTGCGCTTGTAAATAAATATTTCAAAATACTTTACATAAAAAAATATTTATAATATAATTATCCCATTAAAATGGTGTTGGATTGTTTGAATTTTTATAAATTGCAGAACCAATTTATCAATAGATTTTTTATATATACAAAAAACGTTTTATGAACGAGATACGAAATTGCTACAAAGTTTAAATGTGCATGTTCTAAATAAATAAAAAAATAGTGTGTGTGTATATATATATATAAATTTAGTCGACACAAATACAAATAATAATAAAATATTGGAGAATGTGCGATAGATATTTGAAAAGAATATTATTAAAAAAATATTGTATACCAATAATAAACATCTATTAGACTAAGTAACTCTGCAAGACCAGCTATGGTGTGTGATTTTGGTTTCGATTGCTCTAATTATTACAAGCTTTTGAATTATACCGTCGGTTTTAAGTTCCATGTTTGGATTGAGACTTGGTTTTAGGGTTATGAATTATAATCAGTTTGGTGGAAATATGAATGACTCTATAGGACCAGGTATGATGTATGTATGTGTCTTTGAGTCGCGCTCTTTTTATTTGATTTGTCGGTGAGATTAATTTTTTTTTGTGGTGGTGTTGTATGTTTAAAAAGTCACTAAATCCCATTTTTCACATCAAATGATTGGGAATACGAATGTTTGCATGCATTTGGAAGTGATTTATCATCATTTCCACCATCATCTATATTGTTTGAACAAAGTGTTTTTATATTTAGAATTGAAAATAAGAAATTGAAATAAAGTGAACAGATAGAAACAAAGATCAATCTATACAGGTTTATTTTGTATTGTGTTTATCAAAATCTTCTGCAATGAGGAGTTATATATGGGCACCAAAATTGGAAACCTCTAGACAAGACAAAGACTTTTTTACATTTATTATTTTTTTCTCTCTTTGGTTAACTCTATCATGCTTCTTTGTTTTTTTTTTAGGTTATACTTTGTAGAAATGACTGATAATATCTTTTAATGGCATGCTTATGTCCATATTTTAGTTTATACAAGCAGTTAGTGTATTGAATACTTGATTTTTGCCATGTTTGAATAAGTTCTGTTAAATTGATTCTTACAGTGATATGTTTAAGTTTGTAGTCTCGGATATTCTTGCACCAATTCAACTTTTAAAGGCACGTGATCAAGTAAGTATTAGAAAACGACAACGTTCTTCACGTGCATGGGATCACTTTTCAAAAATTGGGAGATAGAGTTGCTTGGAATTATTGTAGAAAAGAATATTAGGATAAGGTTGAAAGAAATGAGATATCTCTCCTTCGACATTTGGTTTTATGCAAGAGAATATCGAGTAAATTTTCTAAATTAGCATAGATGTTTGCTCGTGAAGGAATGATAATAGCAAAAAAGATTGATTAAGTGATGGCTCGTAAATTTTTAGCTATGACAATTATAGAACATGATCTCCCTTTTTCTTTAGTGCAGTACAAGAGAGCTAGACATTGCTTAAGTGTATGAATCCGGATTTCAATTTGATTTCTAAGAACACTATTGTTGTCGATGTCATGAGATTGTATAAAAGTCAGAAAGAAAAACTAAAAGGCGAGATAACTAGTGTTTCTAATAGAATTTGTTTGACGACTAATGTTTGAAGGTCTATAGTTACTACGCACTATGTCTTACTGTGCACTATGTTGATGATAGTTAGAAACTAAACAATAAAATATTGTCTTTTAGTGTCATGTCTCTTCCACATTCTAGGAATCGATTAGCAAAGAAAGTTTTGATCGTTTGAAAGATTGGAGAATTAAAAAAAAAATTCTCTCACGCTTGATAATGTTTAAACTAATGATACTATGCAAAATATATTAAAGGATCAACTTTGTCTCCAACATAGTTTGCTATGTGGTGAAATATTTTCATGTTCGATATTGTGCACATATTTTAAATCTTATTGTGCAAAAAAGTTGAAAGTTGTTGAGTTTGTTCTGCATAAAATTAGGAAAAGTGTGAAGTATCTGAAATGGTTAGAGGAAATGATGAAAATCTTTGAGAAATATTGTGAACAGATTGATGTTAAAAGTGGAACGGGTTTACGTTTAGATATGTCCACTGGATAGAATTCTATCTGATACTTAAGATTGCTATTAAGTACGAGCCCACATTTACTAGTTTGTAGTTGCTTGATATAAATTACAAGTATAATCTGTCAAATCAAGAATGGTAAAGAGGATAAAAGATTTGAGTTTTTGTAGCCATTCTATGAGATCACCTATTTATTTTCAATCTCTAAATATCATGCTTCTAATTTGTATTTCTTTCAAGTATAAAGAATCAAGTGTTTGTTAAAAGACTAATGAAGAATGGAGAACACGAAATGATTCAATCTATGACCAACAATATGAAGAAGAAATTTGATAAGTATTAGGATGAGTATAGTGTCACTCTTACATTGGGAGTTGTTCTAAATCCTAGAATAAAGTTAGAATTATTGAAATTTGTCTACAATGAAGTTGAACCAACAACCTCTAAAAAAATAGATATTGCGAAGAAAAATTTAGTGTTACTCTTGGATCAATATAAAAACACATCAACAACTTTAAGTTCTTCACGTGGATGTACAAGTCCAAATTGGTGTATTGCAAAAAGGAGAGAAACAAGTGACACTCTAAATATAAATCCTGTCTATTTGTTTCTTGTCTTAATATTTTATAATTCTTTCAAACTATGATATAGACTTTCAAAGCATATGAAAAAGAAATGTTGCACAGTAGAGACGATCTGATTTTGAAATATATTTGGAAGATAAATGGCTAAAGATTAATGAGTTTGATGATACCATCGTATTATGATTTTGGGAAAAGCATAAGCAACGATATAGTAATTTAACTTAGATGGCATACGATATCTTTAGTATTTCCATCACTACAGTGGCATCAGAATCGTCCTGATGCTCGTTTGTTGAACAAGTATAGAAGTTGTCTCCATTCAACAAATGTCGAAACGCTTATTTACACGTGTAATTGATTAGGTTACGACTTTTTCTGAAAATGGTAAGACATGTATTATATTACATGTTTTTCAATACAAATATAGTTAGTTATTAGCAATTTTTTGAAAATGACATGTGATCGATGAAGATGACGATGATAATGCTATTTGCATCGATATTCTTGGTAATCCCACTAACACTAATGATGGTAAAGAAACTTCCAATAATCAAGATGGTAATGATTTGAAATTCATTTTTTAGATTAGATTAAAATGAATGTTTAGATTACGACATTATTATATGAAACTACGAATTGTGTTTGATTTAGTATTTCAATAGATATTGTTGTAAAATTATTTATTAAGTTTTCAGGATTTTTACTATAACTACTATTGATCCGCAATCTCATTTTTTTTTATTGATATATAATTTCATTTCCGATACGATAAAATAATGAACATTAATATCTTTTCAAATCAAATTGTGGTTACATTATATATGTAATATCACATATTTAATAACAAATATTTAATCAAAACATGTACTTTACACAAAATAGATTTAATTTTATCATATGTTCATTAAAACACGAAATACTGATGATAATTATTATAGGATTTAATAATTTCTACAAGAGTAATCACATTATTTGGATAGATAAAACATTATACGATGGATGATATTATTGAAATTTCATAAATTTTAATAAATAAAATAAAGTTATTTAGATATTTTAAATTTTATTTATTTTATTTTTGTGAATAAAATATTATGAATTTATTTTATTTTAATCACTTTGATTTATTTTTCATAATTTTAATTTAATTGAATTATTTATCCACTATTATTAATATCTATCAATAATGAATTAGATAATAAAAAAAATTATGATTTAATTAATTAAATAAATTTATTGAGTTTAATCGGTTTTATTGATTAGCACAATCCATTTACGTTTTGGTTTGTTTTTATTATGCTAACCTGATCCAAAATATCACAAAACCTATATGAATTTGGGTCTAATGATGAGTTTCCCAATTTGACAACTCTATATTAGAGATAAAATATATAATAGCAAATCTAATTATCTAATGCAAATACTTCAAAACCGCAGGTAATTAGATAACAAACGTAATTATCTCATCTGAACCCTCTCTTCGAACCAGAGTGTTATCCCATACTCTCCACACTTATTTCAGATCCCAGCCAAGATCCCAGCCAATTTCAGACCATCCTACATAGACGGTACGGATTTAGTCCGACTCAAGTTGACACTCCATATCTACTCCGAAGAGTCTTAGAGTCTTTGAATTCGTCATTCCAACCGATTGGCTCTCCAACGTTTTTCCTGTTCATTATTTAAATCAAATCAATAAAATAAATTCATAACAAAGTATTTGAAAAAATTTCAATAAAAACATCATATTGCAAAATCATTATGTTTGTGTCTAAACTCCATGTAACGAATTCAAATTCGTCTACGTTTCGTGATAGATCAAGAAGACCATGAATGTAGAATACCAATAAAATCATAATCACTTATTGGGCAATCGTAGAGTAAACCGAAATGCTTATATCTATTTTATATCTTGATTACAAATTATAATTTTATTACGTATATATACACACACATATGTACACAATAAATTTGCGAAAAACACTCCAAGTAAAAGAGGTTTCAAAAGATTCATACTTCAGTGAGGAGTAGACTACGTGTAGAGAGATCGAACAAAATTTGGTTCTGACATAAGTAACCAAAAAAAAAAATCGTCGTCATATAATTATCTTTTTAGGTTTGGACGTTACATTGATAATGCAAATCTCTGTCTCCTCCGATCACATGAAACAGATACATGTCCGTATATATCACATATACGTTGAATGTATTTGCTAACACGCATATATACGTATACATAGTATGCATGTATACCTACGTGTAGGCATTATGCACCAGATGGCATGCAAACAGAAAACTACGATTCTTCTATTTTGCTTCCGTCATTTTCATGCGAAAAGAAAACAAACAAGATGTATAGATATATTTCACATATTTAATGGACCCACATTAAATGGCGTTACAAATATAAGTTTTTACTCTTTTTTTTTTTTGTAAATATTAATATACAATATTTCACTGTATCATCTTCAGAGGCAGATAGTTTTGAATTTTTGTTTTACCCTTATTTGCATGGAATCGAAATCAAGCATCCGAATTCTCCTCCTCATTGGATAACTTTCGAGTACTTGTTTGAGACAACAACAAAAATAAGTATAAATCTCTAAAGTCTTAAAATTAAGATTGAGATTTCATAAAACAAAGTTATTAAAAAAACCAAATTGATAAAAGAGCCGGATTTTATAAGAATATAGTTTTCTACTAAGTTAACAAATACATATATATATATATAT